TCCAAATTACAGTCTGTGATATTTTCAAAGAAAAAAGACCAAAACTGCAGACAGAGTTATGATTCAGGACACTAACACCAATGGTAAGAGTTCAGGTTCTCTAATATTTTACTAAAGACCAGTAAGAAATAACCATTGCTTTAAATTGTTTACTCTTTTGAATGTGTATTTTCCTAATGAGGGCCTGTGTACGTACCTGTGCGTCATACACATGGAAAAAGCAAATAAGTTTTAAAAGTCTCTTTTCTGATAGAATATGCAGTAACCATTATGCTCATAGAGCTTGACTTTATTTTGCCTTAAATATAGTTGCATTTTTAAAAGCATCAATAAGTTCAATTTTTTTCTAACATCAAAGATACAAACACATTTTTTCATGGTCAAAAAACGATTCCACATAGTTTCTTTAGGAAAGTTTGTAATAGATTTGTAATCTATTTGTAATAGATTTTTCATATCTATGGAAGAATATTTTTAGGTAATCACTCATATTTTCTCTCTATACATAAATACCATCAGTCTATCTAGTGAATTTTTTGGGGAAAAAGAAAGGTGTACAATAGTGGTAGTTCTTTAAAAAAAACCATGGAATTTTAGAACTGGAAAGGATTGGAGTATCAGCAAAGTCTGCCTCTTTATTACAGGTGAGGAGGTGGAGAAATCCTCTCTGTGCTCAGTCCCCCTCCCTGGGCCCCCCACTGCGCACACCCACTGGGGGTGGGGAGGGGGGCTCCAGCCTGCCAACCTGGCAGCAGAAAAGCCGGAAGGAGAACGGGAGAAAAACACCTCGGCTGTGATTTCAACTTTCCCCTTCGCAAAGAATGCTGAGAACTAACACCCAGTATTTCCTTCTTAAGAGAAAAAGAAAGGGGAATTTAATTTTCTTCCTAGTATTATGTAGAATATTTTGTAGATCAAATTTTAACACAGCTAAAAATCAGCAAACAGACGTGCTGGTATAAACGTTTCTCGCCCTCTTGTTTTCAATGAAGCACTGTGTCGGAAGAAACTTTTCAAAGGAATAAACAAGTGCTCACTCTTTATCTCGGTACCGGTAATTAGCAAATGAGCACAGGGTTTTAACACAAAGGGCTGGAGCCCGGCCCGGCCGGCTGGGGTGCTAGCGGGGTACAGGCGCACGGTTATCACCGCTCCAAGCGCGCACCGGAGAAAGAAATGAGGGGTTTGGACTTCTGTGGCATTAGACAAACCACCACAATAAATACAGTGATTTGGGCTGGAAACGTGTGCACAGCCCAGTAATAAAGAAACACCCCGACGCCCGCCGCGGCTTTGTAAAACGCAAAGTGGGGACCGGGCGACCCTGCCAAGCGCGGCGAAGGGCAGGTAGGGAACCCCACGCCTCGAGCTTCCACAGGGACAAAACTGAGCAGTGGAGAGTCTGAAAACAATTGCTCTTTAGCCTTTTAGCAACACTTTTTAATTAGTTCAAATGTTTACATGTTAACAGTTCCTGTAATAAACTTAGGGTAGAAATGTACTTCTATAAGTTTTAGGGACCGCTGGCATTTCCGACTCTCTGACGCGCCGTCCGGGGCCGTGGGTGGCGTCATGAGGAAATGCGTGTCCGGGCCGGATGAGCCAGAACACCTCTGATTTTATGTCTGAAGGTATTTTTGCAATAAAAGAAGTAAATCCTTTTTCCCTTACATTTTAATTTATATTAATTATTTTAAATGGCTGTAGAATTTTTACTATTTCCTTACTTTTTAAAAATTTGATTTGCTATCTGATTTAGTCAGTTTAGATTTTATGATTTCTATTCTAGCACTGAAATCAGCATGGTTTATTTTCTAAGGCTTATGCTACCTGCTGGAAGGCCGGCCTGGGCAGGTTAGTTTAGTGGTTAGTACCTTTTCTCATTCCTTAAAAGTTGTCCAGCACTTCCCAGGTAAAAAAATTTCTGTGGCTTCTAGGTATGAGTAGTTCCTTATTTTAAAAAAAATTTTTTTTAAAAAAAGAAGAAAAAGAAGTGGATTATATATCTTGAAATCCAGGAGCTATAAAATTATTTAAAGTTTTAAGTCTTATCAAATATTATCAGTGAGGTAAAGCTTATTTCAAATCAGTATGCTCCCCATCTGGAACTCACACAGCGCTGACGTCCGTGGCTCACGGCCGTCCCCTGCCTTGGTGGACACTGAGAGCACGTCCCTGTCCACGTCCTTTCCTGTCATGTGACCTGACGCACGTCTGTTTGCTCAAGTGGCCTGAAAAGCCGATATTTTCACTTAGTGCAGGCGGGCGGTTCCGAGTGCAGCCATTTTTGGATACTGCTGAGAGTCTGAGCCGTGGGCGTTTTCTACGGCATCTTCCGTCATAGATGTAAAAAACCCCACAATTAGGAGGATGCATTTTTATTTTGGAAAAAAGCAAAAAATAAAAGTTTCAGGACCCACCAAGATACACTTAGATAATGCTGAAATCTAAGCTGTCAACCCTCGCCGACTTCCCTCGCAGAAACACCGTGGACGTGTGTCCACCACAGACGACCCTCGCCTCAGACTGCACTTTTTCTGTTGGAACAATCAAGGAACGCGATTCAGAAATAATATTACATCCTGCATTTTATTCAATTCCATATGACAAAAATAGTAACCTAGACTAAGACATCCATTTCGATCAGCAGATGTGTCAAGCCACAAGATTTAATAATAAAAAATATTGGATCTAGGTAACAACTCCCTGCTGGTTCAGGGAGGCCCCTCGCCCCACATGGTGTCATAATATAAAAATAGCGTCTCTCTTCACCACGCAGAGAGGGACGACGTGGCCCTGAACACAGCGCGGTCTCACTGTACCTTCATCAGCCATCTTATTTACAGCACTTTACATTTTCCTCGTCTTAAGTTATATACACATCCTTTCGGGAGAAGAGAGAACACCACATGGCACGAAATACTAACAAAAAAAAGCCACACCAAAAGGACACAGATAAATAACAGAACATTCAACTGCTGAAACACAGCAACATTAAGCCACCTGGGTTTGCTCTTCCCAATGCCTGCGACGCCCTCAATCACTCATCCTGCGAGGAGAGATGGGGTAACCCGGGGAAGTCACACCTCACCACCGTGGAAAACAGAGATGCAGAGTTCGCTGTTCATTTCCAACAGAAATAAACAGCTAATGAGTCTTTGAAACTCTTTTCGTTAAATGACACGCTGGCAGGAATAGCCCATCCTCCTACAGTGATTCTGTTGTTAGAAAGATTGTTGTTTTTCTGTCTCAACTGAGAAGACTTCACTGTCCGATCTTTCTGCAGGGCCGCTCGCACCGCCACCCAGCTACCCTCGCGTCTCCTGAACGACGCTGCTGTTGGAAGTGCACAGCGCCAGGTTCCACACGCCTGCGACGCACAAAAATGAGGTAGTACACGCGACACTGTGCCAGGCTCTGAGCCAGCCCTGCCAACCAGCTCCTGCCCCTCTCCTTACCGGACGCAGGTTAGACTCCGTCGTCGGCGTGAGATTGTATTCTGAATGATCAGAGGATGCGGTGCTTAGCTTTCGTCTGAGAAGATAATAAATAAACCAGGAACGAAGAAAATTCCGAAGTTATGACCGATTGTTCTGCCGGACACTTGCTATCTCTCCGGTTCATTGCACTCAGTGGCCAGCGCCCCGAGGAAGTCAAAATCCCGTCTGTGGTGTGTGAGAAAGAGACAGAGCAGCTCACGGGGAAATTATACCTGCCCAGCGTTCTAGTCCTTTCCTGGCTCGCACTGCTGTCACAGTCCTAAGATTAATTCATCCCAGTTTCGATAGGGGTGGTCACAGTTTTTAAATGGGCTTTGTAAAAAAGTTAAATAAATCATTTTAATTTAAGAAACGGCAGGCCCTATTTTATTGAGGAGCTGACAAGTCTCGGTGGCTTTTGTGTTTAAGTAGCATAGATTTCTCATATTGTTTGACCTTAAGACAAAACAAGAAACTGTAACAGTTTTTTTTTTCATTTTCCTTAAACCGAAGTACTATTTATAAAATACTTTACATTTTTTTAAATTTTCGAATTATAGACAAACCTCCCTAATACAAAATACTAAAAGTGCAATAGTATAAATTAAGAGTTTGCAACCACATTATACAAACATTACCTTTTTATTGTACAGCTTTGATAATGTCAAATATTTACTCACAACTGTTTATAATGTTGTGAATAATTTACGGTGATGTTTGTCTGTAACTTATTTCCCAATCATTGGGCTACAGACCACACTAGAAAACAACTGTCCACATAGCAGCTACAAACATTTAAATTAAAAAAAAAAAAAAAAAAAAAAGGCTTGTTACTGACAGGTACTTGCACACAGAAAGCATGCTATCTTTCCCAATAGAACGTCACAATTTTGCCTGCATTGAAATAATCCACTTATTTATGGTAAAACAAATCTTGCTTTAAAAAAAAAATCACATAGCCAGATGTATTCTGCAGTACAAAAGCTTCATTTAAGGTTGGGGCTCTTATATTGTCTGTTACCCGCATAATCTTAACATTATAAATACTACAGACGAAGATACTGTCGTGATACACAGCATTGGGAGGACGAAACCACTTCTTTAGATGAAGAGTTCTAAAAACATAGTTCAAGTTTCTGACCAATTCAAACAAAACCAGCACACGAGCGTCACTGGGACCCCGCATGGGACAGCCTCCCCCTCCCGCAGAGATCACTAGGTTTCAGGAGGAGCGAGCGGATGTGGTCTGAGTGCTTCCTGTTCCTAACGCGGTTTTCCAGCACTTCTTTTTTTTTGACTGAAATTGATTTAAAAGGCTGCGGCGGTCTCGAGAGCAGTCACACTCGAGGGAGGCGCCCGCAGCGCTTACGAGATGACCTCCCGGCAGCCACACGGTGGAAATATTTTCTGTGACGAGTAAAATCTTAGTGAGGACCTGGCAAGAAGGGTCCGAGCCTGACGCTCCAACTTGGGAACACGGACCCAGGAAGGGACGCGTGGGGCGAGCCGCGGGGCGTTCGGCTAGTTTATGCCGATCTCCTTGTTGTCCTCGATGAACCGCGTGAAGGGACGGCTGGCTGCCGTTTCCGAGCTGGCCTTGTCCAAGCCCACGAGGGGCGGGCTGCTGCCGGTGCGCGCTTTGTCCATGCCCCCGGCCACGGTGCCCAGGGGGGGCATGGCGCCGCCCCCCAGACTCACTGGGAGCTGGGGGACGCCTCCGTTCTGGATGACAGAGATCTCATTGTTCTTCATGGCGAGCCCATTGGTGAGCGCTGCAGCGTACTGGTTCCAGAAACTGGGGTCGACGTTCATTGCTCGAGCTGCCAGATCCTTCTGGAACATTTCCGAGAACTTCAGGGCGTCACCCCCTAGCAGCGCCATGGGGTTTTCCACCGAGAGGCGGCGGCCACGCCGGGCGGGGGCGTTATTCCACATGTGTGTCCCCATGTGCACCTGTGTGAGACACGAGAAACAGCCCACAGGTAAGCAAGTCCACACACGCGAGGCGGAGCTGTCCTGTCCGTACCGTCGCACAAGCGCCACCCCATCCTGAGCGTGTGTGAGGACAACAGAGCACACTCGGGAGAGCTTTTCTGAGCGCCTTCTGCTCACATAGGGAACACCTCATCTTACTGGATACAAAGTCAAAACCGGCAAATGTAAGTCAATGAACATGTTCTTTCCACAGACACACGTGGGAATAACTTTTCCCTTAAGGTGTAAAAGCTATGAGGCCAACCAGAGAATGTTCTAGAACTCCAAGGCTCAAGGGTCTTGCCCCACTGCCTCAGCCGGGCCCCGGCTCTCCTGTGTGCCCTCGCCCCCTACATCTTCTAATACTCGAACTCTTTGCGTCTCTCCTCCTGCTTTCTCTCAAACAAGCAAGAAACATGAATTCTAAAGCATCCCGGGGCCACCTGAGGCCAGCGGGCCCCCAGCGGCCCCCATTCCACCGACGCACACCCACGGAGGCACAGGTATCGATCTCTCCGCTGCAGAGGCCCACGCACGCCGGCTTCGCGAATGTGCGCTGTACCCGGGACGGAAACAGCCCTCTGAGCTGAGATCGGGCAAAAGCACAGGCCTGAAGGCGTCACCCCGCCCGTCCTCACACCTTGCACTCCCGAGCACGCACGGCGTGGCCGCGATCTCACACAGACACCCTGTCTGCTCTTTCCTGCCTCACACCTGCGAGCTTCTCACCACGCGCCTCCGTGGGCCCTCTGGGCAGCCACGTGGACAGGACAGAAGCCTCTAGAAGCCGCTGAGCACTCCTTAGCTTTGCCTTATTTGTACGATGTGTGAGCGTTAAAGGCTACGCTTATTTTGTATCAGACTCAAGACAGCGTTGGGCCCTGGGCCTGCCCACTAAGTTGCAAAGTGTGCGCCCTCCCCGCAGCCCCAAAACAGGCCGCAGCCATCAGATGCTCAGCTCCACGAGCCCCTGGAAGGGAGAAGCCCAGACTCGAGTTCCTCTCACAGCCGCTTAACGGGATGCCGCCGCACCAGTGTGTGTGCATGCACACATGAGACATACCACACACACCACACGCACACGACACACACGCTACACGTGTGAAAACACAACACACACAATGCCACACATGTACGTGCACACTCACATGCACACACGACTGCCATACACATTACACACACGCTCATATGCATACATGACCCACATACCATACACTATGCACACACACATGCACATACATACATGACACTACACCCCCACGCACATTACATACATAAAACATACACACACGTTCACATGCACATACATACAAGGCTCCATATAGCACACATTGCACACACATACATGACCCCACACAGCACACATCACGCACATACAAACATGCACACACGCTCACACGCAAGGCATCTCATTCCTCTGGCCCAGAGCAGGACCCTGCTGATGTGTCTAAGGCAGGCGGCGGATGTGGCCATCCATGGGTAAGTCCCCTCGTGGCCCTGGGAGCCGAGGCAGCCAGGGCCTGCCGTGTTCTTACCTTGAGGTTGCCCTTGGTGGTGAAGGCCCTGCCGCAGATGGTGCAGCCGAACGGCTTCTCCCCTGTGTGGGTTCGCTCGTGGATCTGCAGGGCGCTGGCCGAGGAGAAGGTCTTACCGCAGGACTGGCAGTTGTGCTGCTTGGGCGTCCGGCGCGGCGGGGGGGCCAGCATGGGCGCGAGGCCCGGGCTCATCACTGTCTGAGGCCCAGCAGGGACCTGGACTCCCGCCGGCAGCGGCGGGCCCTCGCCCAGCGAGATGGCCTTGCTGTGGCCGTTCACTTCCGTTTTGATCATGGGCGCCGTGCCGGAGACCAGGCTAGGAGTGCTTTGGCTGGGACCTAGAGCAAAGTTGGGGTCAAACACCTGAGAAGGCAGCTCTTTCAATCTGTGCGTCAGTAAGTGCTGTTTTAAATTACCCATAGTGGAGCACCCGCGCCTGCAGACCGTGCAGACAAACGGACGCTCCTTAGTATGGCTGCGGTGGTGGATTTCCAACGCGCTCTTGCAAGCAAAGGGCTTGCCACAGACACCACACACAGTGCTCCAACACTTACCCCGCTCTCTGCTCAGGAACAGCAGGCTGAAGGGGGCTTCCTCCTTGATGGCTGGCCGGCCAGGGGGGCCAGCTGTCAGGTCCAGGGCGCCTCCGTTTCCCGGCGCAGGGGGCGGGCTGTCTGGCCTCTCAGTCTTGAGCACGATCTCCTGTGGCTCCACCTGGGCGCCCAGGCCCGGCGACTTGGAGCGGAAGCTCTCGCCATTGCTGTTGGCCGGGGACAGCGCCTGCGAGGACGAGGACTCGGACAGTGCCGGGCTGCCCGCGCTGCGGCTCTCCAGGTCGCCCACGGCCGACGAGGAGTCGTTGCTCAGGTGGTCACTCTCCCCGGACCCATTTTCCACGGACTTCAGGCCGGTCAGCTGCGGGCAGTTCATGACAGAGTCGATCATCTTCATCTGATTCTCAAGGGCGGCAATGCTGGAGATGACCGAGGGCGGCGAGGGCGGGCAGGACCCCGCGAAGGACAGCAGCGGCTTGGACGCGTCGCTGGTGGCGTCCTTCAGCTCCGCGTCCTCCTCCATGGAATTGTCGTCGACGTCATCGTCGTAGCCGCTCAGGGTCTCCGCGCTCTTCTCCTCGTAGCCGAGCTCCGGGTCCACGGCGTCCTGGAAGCCCTCGGGCAGGGGCGTGTTGGGGATCTGTCCGCCCGTGTGCATGCGGATGTGCTGCTGCAGCACCACGGCGTTGGTGAACTTCTTCTGGCAGATGGGGCAGGAGTGCTGCACCCGCAGGGGCGGCTTGGCGCGGTGCACGCCGAAGTGCGTCTTCAGGTTGCCCTTGGTGGTGAAGGCGCGGCCGCAGATCTTGCACTTGAAGGGCCGCTCGCCGGTGTGCGTCCGGTAGTGCATCTTCAGGGCGCTCTGGCAGCTCAGCACGCGGTGGCAGATGACACACTGGTTCGGATCCGTCATCTTCTTGTCGATGTTCTCCACCAGCTGCTGCAGCTTTGAGGTTTCTGAAGTCTGCATGGAGTCCAGCAGCCCGCCGAAGGGAAACTGAGCCTTGAACGGGTCGGGGACCGCCGAGAGCCCGGGGCTGCCCAGGCCCGCGGACGCGTCGCCGGCCGGGATGGCGCTGGCCGCAGACGTGGGCGCTGAGCAGGCCGGGCCTGCGGCCGGGGTGTCCCCCGCCCTCGCGTTCGTGCCGGGCAGGCCCAGCGGCTCTGGCTTCGTCAGGGACGCGCTGAGGAGCGGCTGCGGGGACTCAGCGGCCACCAGGATGCCGGACTCCGGGTTGTTGAGGCCGGGGGACAGGGAGGTGCACTCGCTGGAGGCGGGGGAGGGCCTCTGCGGGGAGCGGCTGGCGGGGGTGACGCTGGGGGAGTCGGCGTAGCCGTGGGCGCCGGGGACGGTGGGGGGCAGCTGCAGCCCCACGGACGTGGGCACCGTGGGCAGCACGGGCTTGCTGTCCAGCCAGGTGGTCACGGGCTTCTCCGGGGGCAGCGACATGCCGTAGGGGATGCCCGAGCAGGTGGGCACGTTGTCGAGGTACTCCGGGACGGGGTAGGGGTTCATCTGGATGTGGGGGTACTTCTCCTTGTGCCTCTGGAAGTGCACCTTCAGGTTGCCTTTGGTCGAGAAGCGGTTCCCGCAGATGTTGCACTTGAAGGGCCGCTCGCCCGTGTGCGAGCGCAGGTGGATCTGCAGCGCGCTGTCGCTGCCGAAGACCTTGGCGCAGAACCTGCACTTGTGCTTGAAGAAGGGGTCCTCGGCGCTGGCCTTGGGCTCGAACACCGACACGTTGGGCGGCTTGCCCTTGCGGTGCTTCATGAGGGCCGACAGCGGGTCCAGGGCGTTGGCCGTGGCCGCGATGCTGACCAGCGGGTTGGGGAAGATGACGCTGCTCGCGGAGGTGTGAGGTAGAAGCGCGCCGGGCAGGCCGGGGCCCGGCAGGCTGGGGGCCGCGCC